CCAAAGCTAAAGCAAACCAAAAAATCCTCAAAAATCAATTGCCACATTTCGCAACAACGATTTGTTAATTGCTTTATTCTGATCATAATATTAAAATCAAATATTTTTCATGTTTGATTGGGTTTATTCTGTTTAATGCGAGTACAGTTTAATTCGATTTTTGCACACATATTTTGCTGTTTGCTATTTTTGCTGAATTAATATTTTATTGCGTGGAACAATCTGAAAGCCGTTTGTGTTTTGGCAGCTGCTGTGCTTCCCAGTAATATTCATCAAAGCGAAAATAATAGAATCTGACACATATCAGCTCTGGCATAACAATTTGTAGCAGTATTCCCGCACAGCCCTCCGCTTAGCAGCCACTTCCTTGCCTAATCCCTTGCTACACTCCAGTGGAAAATTCTTGGAATACTTAGCATCAATTAACACTCGAGGCTCGACACTACCTTAAGAGGCGACGTTCTTAAAGCCTCATCAGATATGCGGGTTGTCAGGCTTGCCTTTGGGGAACCGCCACCAACGACGACGACGATGGAGTAATTCAATTTGGGTTTAAAATTGCAAACTGCAGGATCTGCAGCCCAAGGCGGGGGCGAGGCCTTGACAAAGATGTGGGTGTGCATGGGCAACAGCCTGCCTCAGGGTCACATTGTGGGCAGTGAGTAGGGTGTGCGGCTGCATGGCTGCCCGGCTCAGGGGTTTCTTTCCTCTTAATTAAAATGCTTTACATGTGAGAGCCGGGCGTATAAAATCGATTGAGTGCAGTTTAAGTTGAGAGCAGGCCGCTTGCCGCTTGCCGCTTGTCAGCCGGGATCGAAGTCAGAAAGTACAAGAAAAACGCGAAAGAGGTGGGTATTAATTAATGATTGTTATATCGAGTGCAGAACGGAATGCAAATGGATGGACTCCGCAGTGGATCGCTTCAGGGACCGCCATCAGCCATCGTTTGTGGAGAAAGTTTCACAGAGAAATTGAATTTGTTTCCCAATTAAATTGCCGCAATTGAAAGAGTCGGCATTAAGCCCAAGTCGAGTGCCTTATGGATCTGCAGCTGGGGCAACTCTTTCGGCGCAACAAAGAGCTGAGTGCGAGTGTGGCACATAATTTTAATTGCAGACTGCCGCGGCAGGTGGGCTGGCTGGAAGGGTGGCAGGGAAATCTATCTAAACTTTTGCTGGCATTTGTTATTGTTGCAGCGGCTGCAGAAAAAGTTTTCGCAACGCACAACTTTTCCCAACGTCAAAAAGGGGAAACTTTCTGCGGGGTGGCTGCAACCAACGCAGAGCAGATGAATACCAAATGCAAGTTGCTGGCCAAAGTCTTAGTGGGCGGCTTTAAGCACTTAAAGTTGCCAAAATGTCAAAGATTGCGTTAAATGTCAAGTTCATTGCATCCACATACACATCGGAAACCATATTCACATCATCCCGCCACATTCGCATCCGTTCTGGGCTTGGAATGCTGCCAAAATAGCACACATTCAAGGTGTAGGTCAAGTCCTCTGCTCTTTGACCTCCAAACATAAAGCAAACACTCGCCGCTATGCGAGAGAGAGAGGTGCCAAATGCTTTGCATCTTGCCAAATGTTTGCTGGTAATTTACCTATGGATGGCAGCCAAAGCCTGAGCAAAATCCACGCGCGTAAGCGAAAAAACAAATTGTGATTAAAATTGTGTTTTTATGATACATTGAGGCGTGACTGGGGCTGAGAGCGGCATTAAATTACGGCCCCGAGTTTGGCCTCGACACTGAACCCCGAACGTATAAATTAGCACGCCAAGCGTTGGTGGCAATAAAACGATTTTCGGGGGCATACATTGCGTATACGCAATGCTGGCCAAGCACAACGGCAGCTAAGACCAAAGAAAGTAGGCTACAAAATGGCACGCGCCAAAAGAGGGAAAGATACTGACAGCACAGACAGTGGAGGGAATTTGCAGAAAGTCGTAAAGAAAAAATAAACACAAGAAGGCGCCAAAGTTATAAAAATGCCAAAATATATATTTAACGAAGAGCCAGTAGATTGGAAGGACAGTGGAAAGGTGGGTGGACACACAACTGTTGATAGTTCTTGGTCCGTGGGAGCCAAGAAGCAGCGTCAATCTCTGCTGAGCACTGACTAAAACCGACCCAGCGGAATTCAATTCGAACAAAGGGCTGAAACCATGCCATACATCCAACCATCCATCAATCAATCAATCAATCAATCACTCTAAGCCAGTCAATGTCAGTGCCAAATGTGTCAAATGGAAAGCGACCGATTTGCGCACTGGCTGGCATTCAACATGCAATTTATGCGAATTGTTGACATTCATCGCCTGACTTTTTTCGACTTAAATATTTACTCAAAAGTTCGGCACCAACTGCAAAGCCAAATAAATTGTGTGCAAACAGATTTTAAAGAGGGCTCAAAGGATTTCCAATTGAATATAAATGTCATATGTACATACATAATGCATACACGTGGGATTAGTCAACAGGCTGGAGAAGTTGAGTTTTGAAAATGCGATGGATATGCGATGGATTGGATATGCTGACGGGATTCTTCTTCGATTATAATATTCATTTTAGCTAGCTTAAAAGTCTTAATCATCCTTTGCCATTCAACATGTTAATCAAAAGTGAAACAATTTCCATTTAATGTGCGAAATAATAGGCATAGGAAATGTTGAAAAACGTCTCGAAGAACGAGTATTCATGCTATATTCCCTTGCCATTAAATTACGATAAGCCAAGTCTAAAAGAAGGGAATAAATTTGCCCTCAATGGAAGATAAAAGAAGGGAAATAATGTAAATATACCTTTAAGCATTGAGTTTCAATTTGATGCAACGACCTCTTTAATGGACAGGGAAGGAATGTGTTTATTTTACATTTAAAATTGAAATTAAATCTACAAATACTCGTATCTAAATATGCTTTAAAATAAAGAAACCTTTAACACATAAATGTTTATATTTGCTAATATGCCAAAACTCCTTTCCATTAAATATGTAAACCTAAGACAAAAGGCAAACAATTCCTTGTCATTAAAACTTTTCGTACAATATTTGATTGGGGTCAAATATTTGTTTAATGCTCATTTGTGTTATTTTTAAATTCGAACAAATTCTGCTTCAAGTTAACTTTTTTTCTGCATTTCCAATTTGTTTGCACAAAAAATCGTAACTGTTTGTTGTTGCTGTTGGCATTGATGGATGTTGTTTGTTTGTTTAAGTGAATTTTCCTACTTTTTTTCGGATTGTTGGTTTTTTGTGTGTGAAGCAAATAATTGCATTTCGAAAGCAATTACCAGAAATCTGTTGATTTAAGCAACAAATAAGCAGCCCAGGCAGCCAGTCGAGCAATTGGTTTAGACAGCAGGGGGGTTCTCGCTTTCGATATATACATCCTACTCTCTATATCTGTGGAGTAGTCTGTGTGTTTTTTTTTGTGCAGCGATTATGGTAATGAAAGGGCAAATTCAGCTTGGCTTCGTTGGCTTTCTTCCTCTTGAAGAAATAAGACAGTTTGGTATGCTTGTCACGTAGACATCCAACATGAATCTGGCTAATACAATTAGAAATAGAAAACACAGGGAAAGCATAGGGAGAGACACAGATGGAACACGACTGCCCTACAATTGGGTTTCAGTCCTACAAATGTTTCAATTAAAATCCGCTCGAAAATCAAATGCTCGAAAAAAGCGCGTGTAACCTTTGAAAGTTCGTTCTCGGCCCAGTCAATGCCAGCAAAAGGGGTTGTCACGATGATGATTGCAGGACAAATGGAACTCGGCAAAGCCGGAAAAGCACCGACAGTCGCAGTGGCAATCATCGCAATGGCATGGCCTCTAGCAAATCGAAGATGGGACAAAAAAGAACAAAAAAAAAGTAAAGCAAAAAAAAAATCAGGAATCCAGAAACAAAAGCAAAAACGAAAGTCTGAGATGCATTGAGGGTATCTTAATTATGCCCCCAAAGCCGAAACTAAATCAGTAACCCATCAGTGCCTAAAAGTTCGGAGAAAGATATTGATTTAAGGAAAATTAGTGAGTTAAAGTTTTTAGAAATATAATCACTAAAGGAGCAGCAACAGTATTATTTTTCAATGCTCTGCTATTGGGGGACAGTGTATTTCCTGATTTAGTTCAATCAATATTGAATCTGCATCATTTCAGGCCCCATGGGTTAAGGCTTAGTGTTGCGTATTTATCATGTAATTCCCCAAATTTTTTGCCCATTCAGGGTTTAGCGTGCCACAAATGCCAAAGTCAAAGTCAATGGCTGTGCTGTGCGCCGCCAAAAAAAAATACGCAAATGGAAAGTGGGGCAGCTGCCACAGACGTGGCATATCGATGGTGCCACTCGTGTGGGGTGCGATACATTTCAAGCCTTTTCCCGGCTAGGTGCTGCGGCATGCGGCATGCCCCTGGAAGACTGTGCGACACGTGCGCGTGGCAGGGCGCCAAAGTCGAATTGATTGCGTGCCAGTTGCGTGGCAGTGGCGCAATTTGGAGGCGGCTCGCGAGGCGGATCAAGGGCGTGCCAGTCGATAACAAATGCCATTTGGCGTATTGTAATTAAAATGACGAAAGCAGGCAGCTTTTAATAAACTGCCAAAATAAATACGAAAATGCGAAAAGGAGCGAGCGAATCAAATAAACAAAGGATGAAAAGTTGTAAGAGGATTACCAGCGTGACTGAGCGAAGAGCTGTATAAGAGGCAAAATAAGTACTTTGTATAATAACAGCAGGCAGGGGCAAGGCAGATATAATGGAAAAGCTCTGTGGCATCCTCAAATAAGTGGTATTGAAACTCGAGTGGCACGAAAGGGAACACAGAAACAGAACCCCCCCAAGCAGATCCCAAAGCCCGAAGCAGAACTCAGACAGCATAATTTTTCATTATGCCGCGAAGAGCAAACTGTTTACATTTGTTTGTACTTCAGCAAAGGCAGAAAACCAGACAAGATACGGCGACTGCCACAGCCTCGGGGCAAGGCAACGAGGCAAGAAGCTCATTCACGGCTGTATCTGTTGCCTGTTTGCAGGTGCGGCTCATTAAATCATTCGGTAATCAGAGCTGAAGCTCCCAAATGCTTCACGGTTAACCTTTCGACTGAGATTGCCACGAGTAATGTACACTACCCGGCGAGGGTCTTGCGATTGATCAGAATAAACAGCCGCTTGGCGGTTCACCCTATACCTGTAAGGGTAGCTGGAGAGCAGCTACCTTTTGTTCCTCCTTTGCGAGTGTCAATCACAGTTGGCTTAATTAATATTGTTGAGCAGAGCGGAGCCATACAGATTCTTACCCGCATAAATTCAAATGAGTCTGGAAACTTTTCAGTGGGGGTGTCCGATAAAAAAGTTGAGGCCAACTAAACATTGCATACTCACGCGGGGATGTATATTTTTACAACAAAGCAACGCAGGAATAGCGATGGGGTTGGAGTGGTAATGCCATTTGGTTTAGCCATAACAATAATCATTTTGGATGATTTACGACTGCAGTTGGCAGCTACGCCCGTTCAATGGCCATAAATTCTCATCAATAAATCAAATGTAAAGCTTTTGCCGCCTCGTCCAACATGAGGGCGCCGCGATGTGTGCAGCGTTCTTTTCTCTTGCTCCTACAGGACACTGTTGTGACAGCCAATGTAAATGTGTATTTGTGTGTTGGTGTGAGTGTTGGTGTGAGTGTGGTAAGTGACATGTGTCACTCTATAATAATCGCATTTGCATGGATCCCAAACGATTGCAAAAACTGCCATGAATAACCAAACAGGAACTTGGACAGAAAGCTCTTTGGAGTGAGGAGTGCGGGGTAAGATCTTAGACCTAATCACGTCTTGGGCGTCGTTTGTGGTTGTATAGGACTCTAATAGGGATGGGGCCTTAATGCTAGATACGATTAAGTATACGCATAGTTTATTGCTTTGTCTCTGCGACGCGCTGATAATACTTACAGGTTTCCATTTTGCTTTCGATTTTTTTAGGGTTGTTGTGGGGTCTGTTACTAATGTTGGTAGGAAGGAGGGACTCGGGATTGCTTTGGTTTCGTGTAAGAGATCCAGTTGGTGGCGAGTAGGAACCCAGTGTTTTGTGGCTTTAGAGCAACTCCGTTTCCATTTGGGCGGCCTCGACGGTCTCCACAATGGTGGCCGTTGGCGCCGTGACCGAATCTCATGGAACATAGCGCGAGGTGAGTGCTCCGTCGTCGTCATCGTCTACCCGGAGGCCGCCACAGCCGCAGCCGTAGCAGCACGGCAGCCAGTTGGCTCCGGTGTAGCCGCCTTTTGGTCAAATCGCAGAGACCTGCTCGAGCTCGGCACTGGAGCGGCCCGAGTTCATCACGACCACATTCTTGGCAGCATAGTCGGTGATGAAGCGGTCGCTGTTCCGCGGATGAATGTTGCCCACGTCCTGGGCACAGCACCAGGGATTGCGCATGGTCAGGATGCGCTTGAAGGCGTCCCGGAATTCCTTGTTGAAGATCGAGTAGATGATTGGATTGAACGCAGAATTCGAGTAGCCCAGCCATGTGAGGATCTTGAAGGTCTGTCCGCCGATGCAGGTCTTGCAGAATGCCGCCGTAATATTCACACAGAAGAAGGGCACCCAGCAGATGAGGAACACGCCCATAATCACGCCCACAGTCACCGCCGCCTTGTGGTCCGAGACGTGGTACGGCGAGCTGTGGTGCAGATTGCGCACCTTGAACTTCTTGGGCGTCATCTTGGGGCGACGAATGCTCTTGTAGCGCTGCTTCTCGGCCACCTCGCCGGGTCGGGTCACTGCCTTGATGGACTTGACATGCTTCTGAGCATAGCAATACAAACTAAAAGAGACACAGAGCGAGAGAGAGAGAGAGGGAAATGGCAATTATTTGTCACTTAATGAATGTCCTTGAGCTTGTGGGCGTAACCGAACAAAATGATTGCTCTACTTCTGGATGTTTTGTCACTGGTTAGTAGTTACTGTTTCATGTAATTGATATGATAATTATTCACTTGGGCCACTTGCCATGTCAATTGCGGCACAGTGGCCAAGGGAAACATATTGCGTACGCTATCATTTCCAATCTTCCACTTCAGCTGCTCTCAATGCGGCCCCATTCTCACCCCTTATCCAGCTATAGTGCTGCTGGACAGAAAATAAACAAGCATATGTGTCCATCAGGGTGTCCGGGTACGTGTCCGTGGGTGAGTGTTTATTTGGATATTCCCACATAAAAAGGATAACACGACCAGGCACAAATTATGACGATAAAAGTACATATATTTATTTTGTTATTTAACCGAAATTTGATAGAAAATTCCAATGCCAAGCAGCAAGGGATCCATTTGATGAAGCGGACAACACTCCCACACCACACTCCGCCCATTGGTTGCAAATCTCGTTAAGCTAAAATGGCAACGTGCCGCTGGCCGTAACGTTGATGAGCAGCCATGCCATATCGCTGTCCTGTTGCTGTGGGTCCTTGTCCTAGTCCTTCGCTACACGCCCAAGTCTTTTGGCTGTACTGTTGGGAGGCGGGCACTGGTCGGTGGGGTCAGCATGGGGATTACTTAGACGGACACTAATGCGTGCGCTTATTTGCTCAGACCCCACAACCCCTTGCCAACCCCACAGCCAACAGCCAACAGAAGCTCTCGTGCCTGGCGGCCATCAGGGGAGAGCGCTTTCTCCTTGTGGCATTTTTCTGATATATTCAGCATTGCGATAGCAGCAAACTTCCTCTGTTTTTACAACATTTTATTATATACTTTTTACTACTTCTGGAATGGCTCGACTTCGCTTTCTCTTTGTGTGTTTTTGGCATAACTGGAAAATATTTGAGTTGCCGTTTTGTTTCCATTAAAAGCCAAAAAACTTTCCTCAACTCCGAGATATAGAAGTGCTCGTATCTGTGTGTGTATCTATCCGTGTATCTACATAATTGCAGCTGGAGGCGTCGGGTAAGGAAATCAGTTTCTTTATGCATTTCATGTTTTATGCAGTGGCCCAAAGTTTGCCCTCAAATCTGAATCTGAAACCCCATCTCCCATCTCTGTGTAACCCCAAATCGCATTTGACTTACCGACAGTAGATGCCAATCATGACCACACAGGGCAAGTAGAAACTGATACAGCTGGAGACGACGGCATATGTGGGCGTGAGATCCAGGGCGCATGTCGGATACTTCTTGCCATTATCCTCGAATATCATCGGCTGGTCGGGCCGATGGATGCCCAGGGAGATTGGCACAAACGAGACGAATGCGGCCAACAGCCAAATGGCGGCAATGGTAATAACAGCCACGCGTCGTGTCACCCAGCGGCCATATCTGTGAAACAGAAACAGAGAACAAAAATGAAAGCCACTGCGGTGAGAAAAGGGTTGCATCAATTTGGGACAACGGAAGTGGAAATACACGCGCCATGCTTGCTGCTGTTCATCCACATGGTGGATGGTGTTGGTGCTGCCTGCTGGCTCTTGTCTTTTTGTCCTTTTTTCCTTGTGGTCTCCAGCAAAGGGTAAATAAAACACACAAAGAGGGAGCGCAGCAGGACCAGCTCCAGGACCAGAAATATCACATGCAGGAGTAACATCTGAGGCGGTACAGAGAACAAGAACACGCTGCCATGTTGTGATTGTGGCTTTGCATGTGTCGCCGGCATTCCCTCAGCGACCGGCAGTGGCCATTAGCCAGCACACAACATCATTTTCGGGGGGGGGGGGAAGGGCGCGACATGTATGTGGGGCCCCAGATCAGGGATCAGGATCAGGTGTATAGCCGCCTCGCGCTGCATGTCATTAGTTACCCAACATGGCCGTGCGACAAATCGGCCTAACCCGAAACCAAACCGCAGCCGCATATCCCACACAGACCCTGCCACCATGCCACATGGCGCACATGCAAATCAGACTGGTTTTGGCTCTACCTTTTTTCAAGCACTTCGATTTCGACTCTGCAGCAGGAAATGAGCAGGCTGAGAATTAGGGTACCGAAAACCCACAACCCACAGTCCATAGCCCAGACCCAGGACCCACCTCAATCGAAATACCCAAGGCTGAGTGGGGACCACAAGAGCGGTGCCATATGCCGCATCATTCTGGCTTGTGAAGGAAATCAAACAGAATAATTCAATTTCAATACAAAGACGCACTCAGACGATGACGGTAACGAGGATGTGGGATGTGGGATGGGAGGAGAATGTGGCATGGGGGAATGAGGACACAGATGCAGACGACAAAGCGGAACCGGAAGTTTATGTAATTGTATTCACATACAAATTCAATTTCGTTTTCGGCACGAAAATTGATTTCCATGTGACGAGAGCCCCTAGCTCTTGGGGTTCGCCAATCCCCCTCCAGCTGTCAGACTTTCGCCGCTCTCTCTATGAAAGTTTCCCCAAATTCTATTTCTTGCCTGCACTAATTCGAACCTCCTTGCCAGGAGGTTGAGGTAACGCTTTGATATATGCACATACTCGTAAAGCTGCAGCCATTAGGCGACACACGATTGCCCTGCCCTGCCATGCCGTGGAGCAGGCAGCCAATCAGCGTCGAAGCATCGATGAGCTAATTGAAATCGTGTGTGAGAGTTCACAAATTGTGTGCTTGTGTGTTTGTAAGTGTGTGAGTGGCAGAAGCAAAGGACATTTGCATTTAACGCTCGAGTTCTGGCTTTGGCTTTGACTCTGGCGTCGCCGTGGCTCCGTGGCTCATGCGGCGGCATCGGCTTTATGTGTTTGTCCCACATGCACTCAAGAAATTACCGCAAGGCACGCACAATGCCTGCCCCATAGTCTCCGGCTGCTTCCCTGTAGGTTCTCTGTGTTGTACTGGGGCACATTTGCATAGTTTGGATACTGATACTTTTCCAACATCAGCTTGTCGGGGATGCCTTTTGCTTTCTGCTTTTGTTTTCAACATGGTAAATATGTTGACTCTTTACTGTCAGTGCTGGCACTCACAGCAGGTACAATGGAGCAAATGGCTGAAGGAACTTTAAGGAAATGAAATAAAGCAACTTCCCTTAAAATCGTTTGTCATTCGCCAATCAACTTTCAATCAATTTTCGTATTCGTGCCATTCCTATCTGCGGTCCTACCCTGTAGTTTCCCAGGCACAACTTTTTACCGACAACCCTACAAAAAAGAAACAATTACAAAATGCTCCCAAGTGCGTCATTGTAGGTGGGACATGTTTTTGTGGTGTCTGTTTAAGTGTTGCGCCTTCGGTGTTTGTCCCCACGCAACCACCCACAGCGCCATTACTTCTACATTACGTCTTTCTTCACCCACAACACCACTCACCAGCAGCATGCTCCCCAACACACAGAAGCTCCCCTTTCCTGCGGCAAAGTTTCATTGTTCTTTCACTTTTTATTGCAGTTTAAAATGAATTTTACATATGCGTCTGACAGTTAAGATGATGACAGGCGCCAAAGTCAACGACAACCAAGTTCGGGGAACGACAACGACGCAACGATGGCATCAACTTGTCACATAAAATACAAAATTTACACATATCGTTATTCTACTTTCTTGGGCTCGAGAGGCCGGGCCCAGCAGCGTCATCTTCACTTAAGCAGGGCCTGCTAATAATTAAATTTGCACGCGCTTCTCATCCAAATTGTTTTGTGTGCGAAATCCTGGCTAGCACAATTAAATTAAACGCCTGCAATTATTCTAAAACGCTAAGAAAATTTACAGATTCAGCAGTTCCTACTGGTTGGGGATGAGTCGGGGATGGCGCTGGGATGGATGTGCCCTAATGAGACTGAACTTTGCTGGAAGGCCCAGCAATGTGGGCCACAAAGAAATGCGTTGCTGCCTCCACTTTGACATGCAAATAAATCAGATTTGCATAAAGAGCAGAACGGTGACGAGCGGGGGAGTGCGGAGTACTGCTCTAAGGATAGCAATATTAATGCTAGACACATCCCAGAGATCCCAGCCACCATCAACCATTTCTCAGACACAAAAGGTGGCGACTCTGCAGACGCGCTGCGTTGAGTTTTTCTGCAATTTAGCAGCTGCCAGCTGACGGCATCCAGTCGCTCGTTTGGCCTGGGTGTGGCTGTGCTCTGCTCCTTCAGATTGAGTGGTGCTGGCGACGTCTTGACATTTGAAGTGTAAAACATCTCGGGGCTCATCCCAGCATAGTGGGAGAGGCACTCCTGGGGGGGAGATTGGAGACTGCAAACGAATTCAGGTGGCCAAACTCAATTTCAAATCGCTGTCGGCGCTTGCCCATCGGCCACTGTTTTCTGAATGGCTCTTCAAATGTCATTAACCCAGCGGCTCAAATTAATATTGGACCATAGAAAGCTGGCTCAATCAGTGTCTCAACGGCATTTAGTTGAAAGCCATAAATAAATTCAATTACAACTGAAAACTACTTTAAAGTGAATAATTGTCAGAGTCAGTTTGCCATTTAATATTTCTGAATAGTTGGGTGAATTGTGATTTTAATGTTCCCAAATATAATCCACAAATAAATTCAACGAAGATCAACAAATGCAGACCATGCAGCTCATCCATGATTAACCAATCGATTCCGTGCTCTTTATGATGACTGCAGCTCACTCTTTGGTGGAAAATCAATCCCATCTCTTGCTTAATTTCACTTTCAATTCCATCCATCCATCCATCCATCCACCATCCAACTACCTCTCTGTTCTCCTCTATCTACGAGGATGTCTGATTCTCCTCGAGGACAAACGGAATTCAAAATCAGGAAAAATGTTGCATGAAAATTGTCATTTGCTTTCCCCTAGTCAGTCGCTCCGCTTCGTAGCTTCCCCCAACCTCAGCCGACTGGGTCCCGCCAGAGCTCATTTAAATCCTTTGCCGGGGCATTAAAAATTTTCAATCTGAATTTTGTAGCCTCGCTCCGGCAGCAGCTTGCCACATCAATGAAGCGTTATGTGCTCCCCAACTCGTTACGGGTAACCCGGCCATACAAAAGACCAACAGAGCAGACAGATATACACAGTGCACACTCCTCCACAGAGTGGTGGCAGGACTAGAAGCAGAGGCAGAGATGGATGCTGCCACACACCAACACAACTGTCGTGCAACATTTTTCACAAACGAATAAGCTACCCCAGGTGGCAACAAGCAGGGGTCGTACGTAGGGTGGCGGCGGCAGACTGCTGCAGGGGTCTTAGAGGGGATGGAAGAAAAATATTTTTCTACTTTTGGCTTTTGGCTGAAAATAGCATCAAAGGATTTATTATGGCTCCTTTATGACGCGGGGGTTTGTGGGCTAGTGCTGCGGCATGGAGGGGTTGGCAACTGTCTCGATTTGCTATAGTTGCCCCCAAGCCAGTTGTTGCGCCACCAAACAGCTTGCCCCCTCCTGCGGCAAAGTGTTCGTTGTACAATCATTTTTTTGGTAGGTTTCTACGTACCACTGGGTCTGACCAACATCATTTTTAACAAAGCACACAGATAGGAAGCACACACACACACACATATAGACAGATGTACTTACACCCACACATGGAGAGATTCCACTCTGTTGCTGCCGACACATAATAAATTCTAGCGTTTGACTTTGCCAGAAACTGTTATATTTCTGTGCCGATTCCTGTGGCTCACACATTTTTGTTGGCTTAAACTTTTGGCCAGGGCAGGCCCAGTCCCTAGTTGGGGGCATTGTTGAAAGTTTAATTAACACACAATTGTTGTGGTCCAGCCCGGAATATGGCAGTATGTAGAGTTTTGAGAACAGCAGGGCGAGGCCTAATAAACTTGTTTCAAGTTTTGGGGGGCTGGTGTGGTTGACTGCTTTTGTTAGAATTGCTTGGCTCTGGAAATCAATTTCAAATGCTGACTACAAAGCATACTAACATGGCTGACTGGCAGCATTTTGGCCACGACTGTGGGACAAGCAGGAAAAGCAGGACAGGCCGGACTGCCAAGCTCATTGTCATTGTCATAGTCGGAGGCGCACTCACTGAGAGAGAAAGACACACACACAGACAAACTGGCAGCCACCTGAGGCAGCAGAATTTGATTGTCTCTTAGACTTCCTTTGCCGCCCACTGCTTCCCAATCTCCGCTTGGCAGGAGAGGACAGCACAGGATAGAACTGAGCCGCACAGCTGGAGAGACAGACGCGCCGGATGTATGTACACAAGCTAGATTGAACCGTGATAATGGAACATTTGCGCAACGTTTTATCCACCTGATAGATGAAGTCATTTCGATCGGCTGTGACAAATGTCAAATGTAGCCAAAAGTAAATAAAGTTAAACGAAATTTTAAAGGTAAAGCCGAACAATTTAAAGACGGACAAATGGTTCACTTCCTTCAATAACTTACCTTGAGCTGATGTTGTATTTTTTTCTTCAACATTAATCAGCGTCTTTGCTGACGATAAGCTAACAATTTCTCAGTTCTCTTTTCAACAAGTGACCAGCTGCTAATGAAAGCTCTTTTGTTCGCTTTATTTGCTTTGGTTCTGCCACATGACTTGCAGGAAACGATTTCCAGCCCCAACTATTACTCATAAAAAGAAGCCACAAACACAAGGAAAAATTCAACCGCCCCCTAAGCTGCAGCTCAGGCAACTTCATCTTCAATAAAGTCTTACCCTATAAGCGAAAACATTTCTGGTAATGCCCAATAAATCTGTTACTAATGAAACAATTATGTGGAGCGATTAATGGGCCACACTACCATAAACAACTCGAGTGGCAGTGGTGCAAAAATAGGGCGAGAGCAGAGAGAGCGAGCCACTGGCACGAGTACAAAAACGTGACAGGCATGACAACGCGGCGTATGAGTAATGTGCATACAAAGCACCTGCAATGGCGCCCGGCTTTGGGGCTGACGTTAATGAATCGATATAGACGAGGGCGCAGGCTGTCAGTGGGACATCAATAAGGGAGGAAGGGGTACTTTCACCTGTCCCTTACAGGGAGCGGAGAGTACAATTAGTTTCTATGGCGGGGATATATGGATGGAATAATTTATGCATGTGACAGGACGCTGACATCACTCACCTGAGCGGATCCTTGATGTGAATGTAGCGGTCCATTGATATTGCGCACAGATTCAGAATTGACGCCGTCGAGCACATGACATCAAAGGCCACCCAAGTGTCACAAAATTGCGCTCCAAAGATCCAATATCCTGCATGTAAAATATCGAGAAATAAAAACAGATAGAGTGGTGGAAGGTTAAATGGCTCTTTGATTGACCTGACGGTCTGATTGCTCGCTTAAAATGCTTAATAAGTACTTGGCAATGCGCCTGGCCATTGGTTTTTGGTTCGGAATAGGGCTCTCTGCTCTGTGTGTCTATCTGTGACTGTGTGTGTGGTACGGAAATTGCCATGTTGCGGCCGTCGCACGACGGTGGGGATAAAAAAGTTGTTTCATTTGCTTGCTGCAGGCCAAACAACAACAACCATTAACGGAGAACGAAAACGGAAACCGAAGCTTTGGTACCCTCTAGACGAGCTAAAGTCAACGAATTGTTCTCTAAATGTTATAGTTTTTAGAGAAATAAACGAGGTTTATTTTTGTGTTCGAAAATGCATTTCTTACAGAGTGAAAACCCATCAGAACAAATCCTAGTACCCTCCTTTCCTAAAGGATAACCCCAACAGTAGCTGCAACCGGGGATAGCCACCAAAAAGGCAACGACTGAAAATGGTGTCACAGCCATCAGAGTCTTGTTTCGTTTTATTCATGACGTAAATTGAGTTTAAATGATTTCATAAATTCATTTCCGTTTCCTCTGCTTCCCTTTTACTTTCCTGCCACAGAAACACACGCACACACACATCCACACGCTGTCCTTTGCGCCATTTAAATTTCATTTTGTCCGGAGTAAAAACAAATATTTCTTGTGTATTTTTTTTGGGTGCCAGGCAATTTTATAAGTGCGCTGCAATTATGGACAGACTCGATTGATGTACGGTGCGTGACCAGAAGCGGAAGCAGAAGGCATGGCCACACGGAAATAAATTACACACAGATACAGCGCACAGACACGAGTGCGGTCCATGTGTGCGTGTGGAATTCAATAACAGATTTTGATACACAAAAAGGTTATTTTTTTGTGGTATGGCTTTTGCATGATGATTCGATAAGAAAGCGCACATCATGCTGGCAAACGGCAGGGCTTTCATGCCGTTCAATCAGCCATGCCACAGGATATGGGCTCTTAAGTGCCACAGGATGTGCCGAAGCAACTGGTCAAATCAGATCGGATCCCAACCCTCCCCTCTTTTCCTGCTTCTGTGCAACATCAAAAGTTATCCTGTCAAGTCAGCCATAATGACATTCAGTTTTCAATGCCTCAAATATTGATTTAAATATGGGAATAAAATATACAAATTGTGCTGGTTAATGGCAACTCGTAGCACAGTTTCGACTGGCATTTCGAACCATACATATTTCAGCTGTCAGTGTCCATTGGCCTATTTCATAACTCTATTTGGTTACCCAAAGGCTTGCTTTAAGCATTGCATTAGATTTGCAAATGGCTTCGTTTTTTCGATTTTCACTCCACAAGTTTGAGGCACGGCCCCAGTGCACCCAAACTCCAATCCCCCAAAGCAGCTTTGGCACAAAAATATGCACAGCATTTGCCTCCATGCTCAAGGCCTCGACCAAAAAGCAATTCCAGAAGGAGAGCGAGGCTGGGGATCTGTACAAGTCAGCATATAATTCCCACAGCTTTCAATACCCAAATACGAATACACATGCCAATTGCTTATGGCCAAAAAATGTGTTATATGTTTCTCTCTGTGGCAACATCTGTCTGTTTTCTCTTAACGTGTCTGCATGTGAGTCTGAGAGTGGGTCTGGGTCTTCCGGGTCTGGTGTGGCGTCTCTTGTTGTTTGAATTTGTCCAATTGCGTACGATGTTTATTTGCTGATTTGCCTGTCTTGAAGCGTGCTAAATGTTGCCTTGGCGAAAATAATTTCCATCTGTATGGGTGTGTATGTATCTCTGTGTGCGTCTGCGTGTGTGTGTGTGGGTGTTGAAGGCCCCCTGAGGCATGTGTTTGTCTTGAGAGCAGCTGAGCATTTTTGTATATTTTTTCACACTTTTGCTTACGCGGCAGCCTTCAACCACTCCACCGATTCACTGCCTCAACGCTCGTCTCCCCTCTCATTCGAGTAGCAAAGTCGTTTATTATTTTCGCACACACCCAAGGAAAACCCCAGGAAAACTCTTGGGTGCTGGGTGCTGGGTGTGGGCCTGACAAACGCGTGTCACCTGAACGCATCGCATCGCATTCCACTCGCCGGCTTTTGCTCACATTTTCCAACTCATATGACAAGCTCACATTCGCTTTCCTTTCCTTTGTTTGTGGGGGAGGAGACTCCTGAACGAGTATTCTTATTTTTTTGCCAGTGTTTGTGTCGAGTCCCAACACATTGATGTCAGCTGCATGTTTCCTGAACCGGAACACGTTGTTAGCTCTCGCTGCTCCCCGGCTGCTTCGAACCCCTATTCAGCTCTTAGGAAAAGTTTTGCCGGCTCTCAAAGCCGCCGTTCGCCTAATTTGCCTCTTATTTACTTAGCCAATGTTCGCGCTGCCGCTGCCACAGCCACTCGTCAAGTCCTCCCAGGATTCAGGACACTGACAGGGCCATCGCAGTTGTGGAATTAATAAAATGCACTCATAAACGGCACTGGGTGGGAGCTTCTCCTCTCCAATGGCATCCGGACCGGCAAAAACTTGCAGTTGCAAAACTTTATCAACGTCAACGCTGAGAGGATACGAAGGAGGAAAGGTTTCATAATGGAATGGTTTCCATAGTGGCAGCAACAAGAGGAGGAAGGAGGAGGAGGAATGCGGCTCTTGGAATGGCTAATGGAAAATAATCAGAATGTGTGGTTGCACTTGGGATCTGCATGTTAGTCTTCGCATCAGACATGCAGCTGGAATAAAGTGAAATTCCTGTATGGCTCACAATAACCATTTGTCCAACTATGCTTGGCAGAGGGTTCAACGAAGAGTTTGCAAGAAAGTTGAACAGAAAATGGAGCTCTAACATAAGAAGGATGTGCCAAGAAATATTTTGAACTGAAATCTATCATAAATTAAGCCAAAAGTAAGCTCATTCTTTGATCCCAACTATTTCTAAGTTTATTCTCTAGTTTCTCCCATATTTCAATACCAAAGGCAACCCTCGCTTCTGTACATCATGCCGCCACCTACCACGAAAGTCTTTTGCAATCACAATGGACCACTCGAAGTACTGGGTGGCATCGGCATACCCTGGGTACTCGTGCGGCGACTCCACTCCCAGTGCAGCTGGCACTTTAAAAGGCATTGACAAAGCCACATAAAATCCGGCTTTAAGCGCTGCCAGGCATGTCAAATGGGAACCCCACTACCACACACACACACACACCAGTGGAGGAGGGCAGGGCACTCCTACGTCGACTCGTTTCGACACTCTTCGGTTCCTCTCGAGGGGCGGACCTCGACGCTTTTTGCTCTGAAACAGCCTGCAGCATTTTACATAAATTTCCGCGATAGCAACAAAAATTTCAATTGCAATTTTCCATTACCCACACACACAGAGAGAGAGAGAGAGAGAGAGAGGGAAAGATACGATACGGATAAAGACTCAATAGAGGGCGATGCTATTGGTGTTTGTTGGCGGGAAAAAAGAACGTTGTCATTTGTATACTTACCCAGCAAATCGTTGACGCCTGCGAATGTCATCACCAGGGAGGCCACAAACAGATCCGCAATCGCTAATGAGGCCAGGAACAGGTTGCCGATGCGTCGCAGGCTGCGCTCCGTGTAGATGGCCAGACAGACGAGAATATTCCCGGCCACGGATAGGAATATCAGCACCGATAGGAAGATGCCTGCGGCGATTCCGAGAAACATATTTGTACACCCATAATCGCACCATATATCCCGATGATGGCCATTAACGCCGCACAATGATCAGACAAAGCATACTCATGGGATGTGGGGGACGTGGACGTGACACCTTATGTGTGCTGTGTGCTGATGTGCCTTTGATGGTGTGTTGTTTGCCGCATGCAACATGCAATTTTACAGATAATTGCTGGGATTGTGGAGAGAGTGTGACGACTGTTTGTGTGGGTGTGTGTGCTTGGAGAAGTGTGGCATGGCTGTATGTATGTGTTTACGTCTTCCATTCAACGACATTTACTTTACCAACAACAACAATTGACACAAGGGACAGCGGCTCCGGTTCCTCACCAACTATTGTATCCATTTCGGAGGCATTTGTCCAGCTGCTCTCATTGTAGAACGATGTCAGCTGCAATGAAGAGGAAACAAGTTCTTAAAATTGTTTTCATATAAGTTGTTAACTTAGTTCGAGGACTCTTACAGCTCCTTTGATGTTAAACCTAATTAAATTTGTGAAATGTTTTTGGCAAATTTAATTAGACTTTTCTTTGATTTCATTAGACTTTTGCCTTCGTGTGGCATGCGTGTCTTGTCTGTGGTATCTAGAGTCAACGTTGCCTCCGCCGCTCAAAAAAAAAACTATCAATCATGTGTGGCAGCTGTGGCAGGACCCGAAGAGGCCAACGTCTCTGGCATTATTCATAATTAAAATTGACAAAATTTCAAGAAAATTGTTGAGCGAAGCTCTAATGAAATTAATTTGTTTGGCTAGGCGTTGCCGTTGCTGTGTCCCACCCCTCCACAGTCTGCTATCTCTCTTCCGTTTATGTGGCTGTCTGTGGCAACTTTGAGTGAGAATTTGTCTTGAGGTTTCTTCAGTCGTTAGTGTCAGTCGTTCAGTCTCAGTCTCAGTCTCTGTGTGTGTGTGGCAGACATGTTGGCATTCTCGTGGTTGGTTTGCCTTTGCTGTAGACTCACCATCACCCACTATCCCCAGGCTGTTTGGCACGCACTCACACAAACACAATTGAGCTGTGTAAATGAATTTATTAATTAATACAGCCAGGCACATGCTCATCCTCGTACTCGTATGAGTGCTGGGAAATGCAATTACTCCGAGGGTGGAAGTTGTCGTGGGGATCTGGCTGGGTTCCGAACCCGAAAAATGATTCAAAGTGACTGGCCTGCAGCTGGTGCGTGCCTTTTACACCGCACTCCAATCCCCCACTCTAGCCACAGCAAATAATAATAACAATAACAATAATTATAATAATGAAAGCAATAATAAAATGCTCAAACGCAGACCTGAAAACCGCTGACAAATGCAATTAATTAATTCAAACATTAAACTGCCGACGCAGTATAAATATTTTCCCTGCTGCCGTTCGGAGTCCGTTCCACTCCTCAGCCGAACTTCAGTTCATATCCGTTCCGGGCTTCCCATCGATGGAACTTTATTTAATTACATTTTTTGTAGCGGTTTATGCGTGTGGATGTGTTTATCCCATAAGCGGCTTATTAACTTTAAAGTTGCGAATTGTTTGAAATGGAAACTGAAGTTTAATGAGCCCCCAAATGCTGCGGCTGTGGCTCAGAAATGGCGCAGGCCACAAATGGAGAAGCGCTACACACATGGCGTATGCGCAATTTAGCGAAATAGTTTAATGAACATGCCTAGGATTTTGCCACACGATTGTGTATTTCAGCATGGTAACATTTATATTATTGTTATCGCATGTTTAGCAAGAGAAATGGGTTTGAATGGAACTATTACTGGGAATGTCCTTGCTGTGAATGCAAGTCAATTAACAGTTCTTCTGTTCTGCTTGAGCATCCCCAATGGTGTTTCATAAACAATTTAAATGCTTTTTAATGGAAGTAAAACATCTTCATTTTGCGTCGATTGCCTGCTGCTCCAGAGACTTCAAGTAAATTGCATAAATATTTCACCTGTTCCCAGAAACCACATTAAAATTGTGCTCTGGCCCTACCCCAGCCGTGCGTTTATTCATTCACAACTTGGCCAGAGCGAGTGCCGGAACGAGTAATATTGATTGGCCAAGGGCCTGGCCTGGGATCTGGGCTAACTTTGCATAGATGGCTGCCCCCCGAGGCACTGGCTGGGCTGTGCTGATTGGGTTAAGGATTACGTGTAATGGACCATGAATTAACAATAAACAAAATTAATTGCCGCTACAACATTACGACCGCCCCTCGGCAATGGACAATAAAAGACACTTAAGATTATAAAAATTACATGAAATGTTTTCTGGCGTGTCAACTGAATTTTCATTAAACTTTCCAGCAGCAGCTGCTGCTCCGGCACAGATTTTGTAATACTGCCAGACATTGCCCCTATGTTGATGGGGAAGTTCATGTTGATGTTCTTTTGGTGGCATCGTTAAAAAGCCGTTTACTGCTCAGAAGTGCCAGGAGGCAGGGACTCGAGCACCGTGAGTCAGCCATAATGGATGGCCATTGGAAGTAACTGGGATACAAACGTGACCATTTGGCTAAAGAAACAAACATAAGTTCGTATAAATTATTTGATTTACTCGAAGTCAAGCGTTCGCGTCAATAAAAATGTGCAGAAGAGTCGAAGTGGAAAGATCTTCAGTTGGCTGTGGCCTTAGACAATATTATTCCATCTTTATTCCATATCTTTCTTTGGCCTGCAGTCACCTATAGTAAATCTCTTGATCCAGCATTCTCACATCCTCTTTTGCGTTGTGGCCTCTCTTCCACTGGCTTTTTCATTCCATCTCAAGAACAATAATCCACAATTTAGGGACTTAAATGGAAGAATTCGCTAAGAGAAAGCATAAACCAAGCAAAGCATCTGCCAAGTGTGTGAGAAAAGAATTTAAAGTCTCTCAAAGCACAGCAGAAGTTGGATATGGAGGCGACCAGCAACAGTGACAGCAGCTGCTGCATTTAATTGGCAATAAAAGTGGACAACAAATGTATCTGGGAAAACGCTTTGATGCCGAAGGCCGCGTCAAGTAAACACAAAGCAAAAAGCAGGGGACGCAGTAGAAAAGGCTGAAGGAGAGGAGGAAAAGCGGACACGGGCCGCACTTAGGCGCTTTGGCTCTGTTTGCAGAGTTAAATGGCACAATGCGTTGATTAAACGTCAACAGACACACACACAAACAAACAGTTATACACCCACTCACACACGCACTTGTATCTAACAACAAACACAGATACACAGAGGCTGGCAACAATAATAAGGCTTGAAACGGTAAAAGCGAACACAGACCTGTTGGAAAAACATCCACAGAACACGTAGCAAAGTCCAGCAGTGAGACATGAGCCTGCAGATACCCTAACAGTCTTCCTATTGAGAATATATTTATTGGTACCAGAGGAACTTCCATGAAGAATCCTCTTACCCTCTGTAAGGGTATTAAAAAGGTAAAGTAACTGCCATGCCACACAACCCTTGTACCAGCAGCAGCAACCTGACCAGCGTCCTGTGTCTCCTGCTAGTCTGTGTGTATGTCTGTGCCTGTCTGGCTGTCCAGGAAGTAGTGTGATTTACAAGGAACAGGCAGAACAACAGAACAGGCACAATAATAAGCGAGCCGCACAATAGAAGGACACTGGACCGAGTCCACACTTTCCACACTGTGTCATTCGAGAACTTCCGCCTGACGGCTGTGGAGTAACATGAACCATCTGGCCAAAGGCATAGTTTTGTTAGTTAAACGTTATAAACCATAAACTCAAAGAGAAATTCTGTTGGAAAATAAAATTGCCATGAGTGGAAACGTTAAGTTTTAGGAATGCACCATAATAAATTTCCCATTTTCCAGCACTTTGAACTTTTCGCACATGGTTCCTCTCACACCACCAAAAAGTCTAGAGTAGAACGACCTGAAGTTTAAGAGCCAAACCACAAGAAATACTGTGGTCAGCGGTGCTCTCTGGTGCTCGACCTGGTGCCCCCTGATTAGCATGCATTTAAATTTCTCATAATAAACAAGCGAAAATGCACGGAATGAGCGTTTGAGGTGGAAAGGATAATAGCCGGGCCTAGACAGCTGATTTATGCGTTGAGCAAATATTTATTGTTTACTTTAAGCTGAACTTTCCTAAAGGACTTCAAGTTTTTGGAGTGCTGTGTGTCTGCTATTGTTATTGTTATTCAATGCAAAAACAGGAGGAACTTCCATGGCGTGGCAGTCGGCAGTCGGCACTCACTTGAGCAGATGCTAACTGCACTAACAATTGCGAAAGTCTTTCTTCCGCATCTCGCCTTGGAGCCATTGTCAGAGCTGTCAATGGATATTGACAATTGCAGGCGGGGCAGGAGTTGCTCTGACAGGAGTCTGCTACTGCAGACAGCAGTCTGTTAATGGCTCTAACCCCTCTACTCCCTGTCAGTCCGCCAACATTGCTGCTTGCTGCTTCTGAATGTGTGTGGGGGGGGGCTCATTGTTTGAATTTCGGCTTAATTAAGCAAAGCTTAAAAGTCAAGAAGTTGCCAGAGTGAGGAGCACACACATGTGTCTCCGGCTGTCAAATTTGCCAAAACTGTCATAATTGAAGCCCAAGCCCATCTACATATGAGAATTACAGCAGGGACTTATATGCATGCAAATGGCGCGGAAAACCAGGACTTATGCTTGAACGGCGGGCTGAAGGATGAACCGACAGCAGCCCTTGCCTCAATTATGAATGAACTAATTAGATTCATATCGTCCCAAGCTGATGGATAACAAGTTTTTCTCTGCTTCACCCGTGGGGGATTCACTGCGGTGTGCGACCAGACCTTGGACCTCAAGCTCGTGTAGAATTTTTTCTTTACACATAAATTATTAAAATATAGCCCACAACTGGACGTTTGATGGCTGGGGCTTTGTGCGTGCTAAAATCTGATTAAAGTTTCATTATTTGTTGGTCGTGTGTAACATTAAAGCAAAACACTTTTTGTGGACTGTTGGAGGTTCATAGTGATTGAATCTAACTGCCATCTAAGCCTGTACTCAATACATATAGATAAATATGTGATGTAAAGTAGAATAAGCTGCCTGCACGGCTATGCTAATTACCCCCTTACCCATGCGTGTTTAAGGTTCTGTTTGTCTCCGTTGCGTCTTCCTGTGTGGGCAAAACAAATGTTTGGGATGTGTTTACCCTGTCGCTGCTCTATTGCCTGCCAATTTTCACAGGGGGGTCTCTCGCTGGGTCTTGGGCCTGCCGTTGGGGTCTGTTTGTATTTGCTGCTAGCCTTTAGATTGCCTTGCTGATTGGCCTCGGGGCAGATTGTCAACGACAGGATAATTAGCTGCAACAGGAGATGACGATGACTGCTGGCTGTGGATGCTGGTTCTGCTGTTGCTGCTGTTGCTGCTTTTGCTGCTGTCGATGTGTATCTGCTTCCACTCTTAAGCTGATTGTATAAGCAGCGGCATGCCCCCATCCCACTCAACCAGTGACACTCGCAGCTCTGCGCATCGATTTTATAGTTTTCCTTTGGCTTTCCTTCATTTTTCCCCGGATTTGCACTGAATTTGAGTGGAAAACTCGCCAAGTGAACGTCAGTCAGTCAGTCAGTCAGTCGTGGGATCTCCTTTCGTCAGTGCTACGAGTGTGTGGTGTACGTGTGCATGTGTGTGTGCGTGTGTGCTTAACACAAACGTCCCGTTAACTCGCACAAGTGTCGTCTTCGCAGCTACACTGGCATTGGCACCCGCACACACACTCGAGTGGAAATACACGAATGCAACTGCACTTGTCTTTATTGAAGGTGGAGAGCGAGAATTGAGAATGCGAATGCGAAACCGAATGGGTAAAAGAATGACAGAGGAAACTCCATCTCATGGATTTTGCTAAACAATTGCATCCTTGCAAATCCATAAAAATGCGAAAAGCATATACAATCTAGAAGCTGCAATAAGATTTCTCGCACTTATGTGCCAGCAACGACATCAATATCCGATTGCACAAAAAGAATCATTAAATGTTTAGCTGAATAGCATGTACGGTTTTCTTTGGATTTTCCTACACAATTGTGACAGGAAAAATAGTTGTATTTTCTATAAACTGCGCCAAGATAACCCCAGAGTACTCCGCATGCCTTGGCCAAGCATTTAAATCAGTTCTATAAGGAATACTCTTAGTCCATTTTGGCAATGCCCCAATAATTTACGGGCTGCACGGCAGACATACAAATGATTGACATGAACATGGTTGGACATGCCCATGGCCCTGTTAAATTGACTTGTAATCGTTTGCACTCCTATGTCATTGTCGGAGTCATCGATGCCAGAGGCTCTAGTTGCGGCCCCAACAATCGCACACACACACACACACACATGGGGAAAACCATAAAAAATGGCAGTAGCAAAAAGGGCAAAACAAAAAGGGCACACAGACTCGTATAAGCAGGGTTTATGGTCAATAAGGAGAGGGCCTTTTTGGGTTGGCGGAATCCTTTTGACTGCCCCATTGAAAATCCTTAGCCTCATTCACCTGGCCCTAAAAAAAGGGGACGAGGTGAATGAAATGCAGGACAACATAAAAATCAGGAATATCCAACCATTTTCATTTACCTTTTGAGCAGATAGGAGAGAGGAGAGCGGTACAGGGGATGTGCAATTAAACGGCAACACCTAGCCAAACACATTGTGGCTCTTGTGGCCAAGATTAATGTGGAATGGCAGGGCTCTGTGTCTGTCTTCAGCAGCTGCATGCTACCTCTGTTGATTGTGGGGTAGAGAGTCCTGCCGGATATGTGAGTGTGTGTGTGTCTGTATTTATGCGGTTTCTATTTATCCGTGACCCGATTCACGGAGGAGCGCACAGCATTTTTGCTCATTTATTTTGTGGCCAGCCCCGTGATTATGGCAGGCGCTGTCACACACATTTAATTAGGCAAAATTGCCGACATTTATCTCTCTCTACTTTTCTTTTTAGTCCATTTTGTGGTCTGTGATCCCCGCAAGTCTAATTGAAAGTCCCCAGAGTACATAAGAGAAGCATTTCCTGCGGTTAGCAAAAAATTAAGCTACGAAATGTGGATGAGGATAAGAGATATTTATGGCTCAGAGATTCACCGAAATGTGCCTGAGTGTTGCCGAAAGCTGAGCGATTTATGATTGAAATAGTTTGGGAAATCTTGAACATTTTAATTAAATGTTTGCGGAGAAGCACCTCTACATTCCACTGCCACCAAAGTGGCAAAGTTACAAGCCTGGAAACACACACACACACACACACACACAAACGTTTATCCTTGATGTTTGTGAGGCATACAGCAAACACAGAACATAAATTACTGGTTAGCTCGTTTGGTAAACAGTTACAGTAGCGGCGGCCTGATAGCCCCCATTTCAATTGGCCATCGATACCCATTTCAGTACGCCCCCTTTACGCCCCAATGTCCAATGATTTCGACAAATGGCTGGCGGAAATTTGCACAAATTCCAAAGGATTTCGCCACAACAATAGAGGCGCTTGTTGAATGGAAAGAGAGAGAGAGAGAGAGAGAGACGGATGAGTGGGAGGCAATAACAAATAATGCTATTAATATTTTATTATTATTACTATGCAAAGCCAGCGAACAATAGCTACAGCCAAATTTTTTCCATGCGACAGCTTACGGGCAATAGAAAATGCGGAATTCAATCCAAGAACATACACAATGGACACAATGGATTGGCTGGGCTTAGGAACGGGGGAGTGAAGTATACATAGTACTATTTTCCATATAAGCATTTTCTGTGCAAAAGAATCGTCGAGAGCAGATTAATAATTCAATTAGATTGCACAGCGCGGCTGCCGTATGCATGATGCATTATGCAAATGGCACAAGAATCGCGACAGACGACGGCAATTTGGTGGCTGACACATGATGAGGACAAATGTCAGTGTCACCAATTGAGAGCAAGACTCGGGGAATTGCTCGGAGGTGCATGTAAGGTGGAACTATCTCCATCCTCCGCTTTGGTAAATCGAGCCACTCCCAGTTAGATCAACTAGATTGCTGGTCGCAAAGTGACCCAATTGAGTGACGATTTATCGTTAGCTGAATCAAAGTGTTTCCTAGCAACAGTTTAAAAATTAGTTAAAAATCTACTTGTGTGGAAAATTGTCCCTCCAGCAGGCTGTGCAGGCCGTTCCCATGTGTATCCTGCCTGCCCATCCCAAGGGAGTCGTCTCGTTTGGCAGAGTTTACGTGATACTCATTATTTACATTCGATTGAAAGTTAAACGTGCGAACAGATGAGCAGAACTTTGTCGTTCGGCACAACATGTATTTAGATTTCTATCTACGAGTGAGCGTGTGTGTGTGTGCCTGCCTCGCATCCTTTAATGCTGCCACGTCAAGCACGTAAATTGCTTGCCAGGAAAAAAAAAACGAAAAAGGATAAACTCTGGTTTTTGTATATACATCCTGGCCTTACTTATACTGAGCGAATGGAGGAGTTCCTTTTGAAAACTGGATTAAGCATCGATGAAGGTGCACACTTGACTGTGGGAGTATCTGTGGCTGTGTGTCCTTTGGGTTGGTTTGGGAAAAAGGAAAAGTTTCACATGTGCGAAGGCTGCTAATGAGACTCGCATTCGTTTTCATTTAGCAGTTGGCTGACTAGAAGTGAAATAAATTAAAAGCAAGGAGTGGAATCGAGCGAAAGGAGCAACTTTTGTCGTGATTTATACATTTTATTAAATAATATAAATGCGTGTTTGATGTGTGATAATTGTCTAGCACAGCTAAGAGGATGTGTGTCTCTCCTTTGCTCTGCTCCCCATAGCGTGGATTTATGGCGTTTTCCCTTTTGTCTTGACAAATCATCAAATGTGAGCTGCGAGCAGAGTGTCAGTGTAAATATTGATGGCACATACGCTCCATAAACCAGCACAGAACAAGGGAAACCACACAAAAACTATACGACAATGTTCGCCGAAATATGCGAGCTCGTAATAAAAATTAAATGTTCATAAAAGTTCATGTCTGATGGCTCTCACCCATCTCCCCTGATCGAACAAAGAGACATTGTAAATTATAGTAGCAATACCTGAATACCAAAAGCAGCCTTTTTTTACGAGCCAGCACACATAAATACCCAAACAGGAGAGTCAGAGGCAGAGTCAGATTTAAAGCCCAATGAATGGCAGCCACATGCGTGACCTTTCCCCCTTGGCATCGAAATCACTCACCGTTGTGCCATCATAGCCATTGGTCAGCAGTTGTATGTCGATTTCAAAGTCCATGTCCACCTTGGCGGTTGTCAACTGCAGCGGCAGGTGATCGGCCTCCAGCAGCGTGCCATTCCGACTGATTCCGCTGCCGCTGATGCTGCTACTGTTGCTGATGGCCATGCCGATGCTGCTGCTGATGGACCCGGCGGCGGCGCTGGCGGTGCTGTGGCTGGCGTTGCTGTTGGTCAGGAAGGGACTGCTGTGGTTGCTCCTGCCGCCGGCCGCAGATGCAGCCACTGCCGCTGCCCCGGCCGCTGTTAGAGCGAGCGCTGCAAGAGCACTCATTGCATTTGTCATTTGGATGGCAGGTAGGCTGTCTGGCTGCTGATTAGGAAGGAGGGCAGGAGGCGGGGATTTTGGTCTGGTAAAGGGAGGGGCACGGCCCAGGCCCTCTGCGGTGCGTTCGCTGTGTACCTCAGTTGCAGGATTGGCGGCAGAAAGAGCCCGTTGCCCGGATACGGCAATGCAGTTGCAGCATTTCGCTAATAGACTTTGATTGATTTGCAATTTGTCCACACTCCAGCCACACAATTTTGCAGATCTTCACTTGGGATTCGTTTGAAATTTTCCGAACTGTTTGTTCTGTTTATTCATAGTTGTAGCAGCAGCAGCAGCCAGAGGCCAGCAGCACTGCCCTGAACACGGACCCTGGGACCGGAAATTGCTCAGGTCCGTGCATCAATCAGGCAAATTACGAAAATTGAAGTCAATTCGGGGGCCAGGCTTGAATGATTAATTGGCCCAATGGTCACCCACCCACACACGCACACTTGGAGAAGACGCGCGCGTCCGACAAGAATTCTCGATCGGCACAGACACTGACACCGACAGCGATACCGTTACCGTTACCGACACCCACACAGACACAGACACAGACGCCGAAAGAGACACCGACACAGACACACACCTTATGGCACTTTGATATGGTAGGTCGGCTCCTATGCTTCAGCTTCAGCTTCAGTTTTAGCTGCTGTTTCTGCTGCTGCCTTGCCGCGTGCCGAACCGTGCGAACTGAAGTCTGAACGTCGACTGTCCGGACACGCACGACTGGCCGTGTCGGAGCAGAGACGAACACGAGCGTCGTGCATTCTTCTCCTTGGCCAATGCCGCCAAGTATCCAACAACTTTCGAATCGTTTTCATACGCGACTAACTACGCCAGCACAGGCCACAAGGGGGGGAGCCTGAATCGGAGCCGGAGCCGCAGCCGACAGTTTCCATTCAACAGGATGTGCCATAACACGGGCGAAATATCTGCGCAGCGCAGCCATGAGAGAGCTGTGCTCCAGAGAGCCAAAGAGAGAGTGATTGAGTTGGAGGGGGGGGGTGAGAGCGCAACAATCACCTGTTGTGCCACAGAAGCGTTATAGGCGCGACTTGTGCGCGTTTTCTGCTGTGCGACTTGCGCGCGTTTTTGACAGCGCAACTTTCAGGCGCGACTTTCAGCGTCTTGCGTTTTGCCAGCGGCTGCCTCCATTAGGTCTCATTAGCAGAGTACAGACACAAACCGCATCCAAATGGGACAATCCGACAATTTTGCAGCTTTTCGACAAATTGCCGCTGGGGCCCAGAGCCACAACTCGAGGAGGCAATCTTTCAATTTTAATGTATAAAAAAACTAAGCTAGCGTTTATTTTGGCACTGGATTCATATACAAGCTATCAACTAATCTGCTAGGGTTCTCGAACCCCTCTCAGTACCAAATGACCGTATGCAGCCATTCGATGTGCCTGGCCAGATCCGTGTATATCACGGGCTGCGACAGATCGCAGCGATTGCTCAGCCGCTGTCCCGCGGACACGACTCCACGCAGCAGCCAAATGTCCGACTCCTGCAGCATCAGTCCACCGCCAGAGTCTCCATTGCAGGGACCAGCACCCTCACGATTACTGGCACAAACGGTGCGCGAGGTGACGAATCGCACATTCTCGGATGTGAGATTTCCCCGGCACTCTGGCAGCGTGATGATGTCCGTGTCCGTCATCTTGGCAATGCGGGAGTTTCTGTTGCCGCGCTCATCCTCGCCCCAGCCAGCCACGTAGGACTTGTGGCCCGACGGCAGATCGAGCAGATAGTTTTCGTTCCACAGGCAAATGGGTCGGATGTAGTCGCTGAAACTGTAAGAGATTTCCACTATTAAGATTACTTCTAGGGGTTCTCTCTGGCAAAACTTACTCCACTGGCTCTGCAAGCTTCAGCATGGCCAGATCCGCGTCCGTATAGATACTCGGATTGTATTGCTCGTGTATGACCAGCTCGGCCACTGCTCGCAGGGCACCCGGTGTCAGCAGATCCAGCGAGTTGCGTCCCAGCGACACGGCCGTGCGAGTCGAGGGCAGATTGCGGCTGCCGAAGCGGAAGCAATGGGCCGCCGAGAGCACGGTGGAGGCCGAGATGAGGGTGCCACCGCATAGGAAGTTGTACTCGTTGCCCACCCGCTCGTACAGGGCCACCATCCAGGGCAGCTGTCCCCGCTCCACCACCTGCCCGAAGTGGATTAGGGGCGTGCTGACGGGCTTCTCCCTGCCACAGACGCCATTCAATTGTCCCAGGGTCCGGGGTCTGTTTCCAGAGGGTCGCTGTCGAGCTGACGATGGAGCTGTGGGTCGCTGTGTGGTGGTTGTCAGCGGTTCTGGGATAAATTGTGGTGCTGGCGTTGGCCCAGGCCGTGGTCGGAATGGTTCTTGCTGCTGCTGGGGCTGAGGCTGAGGCTGGGGTCGTGCTCTCACTGGCTCCTCCGGCTGTTGTGGGTATTGTGGGTATTGCGGCTGTTGTGAAAATTGTGGCTGCTTAGGTATTTGTTGAGGCTGCTGTGGCAGTAGATTCAGCAAAGGACCAGTGGAGCGCAGCGTGTGCGATAACGAAAGTTTTGTACTGGGCGGACCATCTGCAAAGGCGTCAAATAAACTATTGATATAATTATGTAGAAAACAAGCTGATTTGTCACTTACATGCCATAGAACGGCACACAATCTGGCCATTGAGGGAGATCATGGTTAGTTTTGGGACCACACCCGGCGTGGGAAAGTCAACACGATAGTTGATTGGTTCATTGTTGCGCAGTCGATATCTAACCGATTCCTCATTCTCCAGTAGATTTAGATCTCCCGGATAGCTCTGAAAGAGATGCAAAGAAAGCGCCTCATAATGAGTCTTTCCTTTTATGGATATGGATTGTAATCGACGTCAGCTTCGCTTCCCCATCTACGTAAACAAAACTCAACGGGTAAAAACCAGCAGCTGAGAACCCACAAGATATTAATACAAGTCTGTAGTAGAAACCGGTCGCACAACTTTGCTTGAGAGAGAGAGGAGAACATAACAGATCAGAAGAACGGAAGAGAATCGTGTGGCGGCAGGGGAATGGTGGGTAGAGGGTTTCCCCTCTCAGGCCTTATCAGGCATGCAATTCCCATCGAAAAGCATGTAAAACATTGAGTTTGCAATTGTAATGGGGGAAAATCACGCTCATCTGAGAGTAAGGTCAATGCATGATAAGGGAGAGCAAAACAAACAACAAACAGCTGGAAAATGGAAAACTAAAAGTGAGAAATGTGTAGACTTACAGAGGTATGTCGACCTGGCTGTGACAGCTCCACACGCAGTGTATTTTCCACAATGGACGAGTCCAACTTCAGGTTTATGTGTCCTATGTGCTCCTGGTTGTAGCCCAAGTACTCAAACAACTCGGGACAGGCAATGTATGGCAGGTTTTGCCCCCAGCCCAGAGAGATCTGCAGCAGTGTCAGCAGGAAGCTTAGTCGTAGCTGGCACATAACTTATGCGATTCAAAAATATTTATAGGGGAAACAAATAGATAATGCACACGCGGGCTTACAAGTGGCAAGTTCAAGCGGCGAACTGAGAGCTACAATGATACCGATACCGAAACCGCACTCTATAAGCGTCGAGCGATGAATGATTACTGAGCTCAGTTGGGGGCACGATCTAGCTGGAAGATCATCTAGCCGAATGTATCGATAATGAGATGCGATTGGAGTCAACACACAGCTTGTTGGCGCTCTCTCTCTCTCTCTCTCTTTCTCTCTCTCTCTGTGGTGCTCTGTCATAAACCACTTGGATAGGTCCACTTAATTATGCGACTACTCTACCTTAAGGCTTGTGTGAGTTCCCAAACTGTGTGATGAATGAGAAAATCCACTGGACAATCCTCAGAGAGGAGTTTCCCTTCACTTCAAGAATATGTTTAAGGAACTCAAAGAATCCAGCCCGAAGATTTCCCAGACAATCTTGCTCCAATGTTGACAGACATTTAGTTGCAGTGTATACACACTTAGTGGGTTTGTTTATTTATTTACTTCCCTCCATGATTAATGGATGCGAGACTTGAATTACCCGTGGTAGAAGCCAGTTTAAAATCCATAAATCAAACTACAAATCGGTTAGGCTTGGATCTTCCAACAATTTGTCTGTTGTCACTGCATTCACAAATGGCAGAAAAGAGTAATAATTAACGGCTTGAATTTCAGTTATTTGACGTTCAGGTCCACATGTTCCGGCGCACCCAGTCAATGTGCTTGGCCACGTCCGTGAAGACGGAGGGCTTGGACAGGTCGCAGGTGTTCTCCTTGGCATTGATCCTGCCGCCAGAGATGACGCCGCGCAGCAGCCAGACATCGCCTTCGCGCAGCATCAGAGGGCCGCCGCCATCACTGCCACAGGGGCCGGCGCCCACCTTCTTGGCGCACAGGGTACTCGGCTGGACAAGCACATGGGGCAGCTCCAGGGTGCAGTTCGAGTCGGAAATAATGCTGAGATCAGTCACCTTGGCCACGTCCGTGTTGGCGTTGCCCTCTCCATCGGCTCCCCAGCCGGCCACATACGAGCGGACTCCCTGTGGCAGATCCATGCGGTTCCTCGTGCTCCACAGACAAATGGGCACGATGTAGTCGCTGAACGTGACGGGCTCATCCAGCCTGGCCAGTGCCAGATCCGCCTCCGTGTACTGCTTGAACTGGTAGTTCTCGTGGATGAGCAGCTCGGAGACACCTCGGAACTCTCCATCCGTGAGGATGTCCAGGCTACTGCGTCCCAGTGAGATGGCCGTGCGACTGGCTGGCAGATCGCGGCCAGGAAATCGGAAACAGTGCGCCGCCGAGAGCACCGTGGAGGCGGATATGAGCGTGCCACCACAGAAGAAGATGGGGCCGTTGCTCTCACGCCGCTCGAACAGTCCCACCAGCCAGGGCAGCTGTCCGCGTTCCAGCCGCTGGCCCTGGAAGATCAAAGGCGTGGTCACGGTCCTCTCACGTCCGCAAACAATGTTGCTGGAGGATGAAGTTTGCGGAGGAGTTCTGGGTGCACTCTGTGTAATGGTCTGCGGGCTGACCCTGCCCTGTCCAGGATTCACTGGTGGCCGCTGTGTGCTGCTTTGTTCGCTGGTCCATATTTGATTATTGTTGAAGCCACTCTGAGGTTCAACTGCGGGACGTACTGACATAGAGGGTCGAACAGATGGACGAACTGAAGGCCGCACTTGTGGCCGGAATGGCTGGGAACCAAAAACTTGCACTGCACTTGAAGAATTACTCGTGCGGCGCTCGTTGAACGTAGAAAGTGGCGATATCGAAGTGGTGACCGTGTGCGACAGGGAAATGGCTGTTCGCGGTGGTGGATCTGTAATTAGAGCATATTTTCCATATCAGAATTGTTTTTGTGGCATCACAGAGTGGGTTTTACCCACATTGATTGCCACCACAAAGCTCCACATCGTCCACTCTGATGCTGGTGACCTTGGGTGGCTGACTGGGCAGGGGAAAGTCCACTCGATATTGGATTGGCCAGCCCTGGCGCAGATTATTCTTGATTGTCTCTTCGTCCGTTACTAGGATAACGTTGCCCACGTATTCCTAAGTAAGTAAAGAAAGAGAGAGAGAGTATGAAAATAAGTGCTCGCTCTCTGTCAGATCTTGTTTACAACGATCGCTGTATGCGATCAGTGTTGACATTGGGGAAAAAACACAACCGCAAACGCATTGCATTGAATGATAAGACAAGCAATAAAGTTGTGGCTGAGCCCGAGATTCGAAATGGAATATTTCATCCTACCCAGTTATAGAATCCAGGCTGCGAGAACTCCAGGAAGAGCGTGTGATTGTTCACCAGCGGGTTGTGGCGCACTGTGACCAATCCAATGTATTGTCCATTGTAGCTCTGATAACCGAAAAACTGCGAGCAGGCGTTGGCCGGCAGCTGTCCAAGACTGGACCCGAGGCACATGGCAATGATGAGTCCAGAGACCAGCGGATGCATCATCATTTCCGCTGCGATTTGTATTTATTTTGCGATCACAATCGAACCTCACTCAATGAACGCTGCCTACCAAATGATCACATAGAGCGATCCACTTGTCTAGGTATACTTTGAGTATTTGTAGTTACTCGCAGCTACTCGAATCTATTACGCTCTACTATAAGTCTGAGTCTGAGTCTTAGCATTTAGCTGGGAATTATGCCAGCGCGTGGAATTCCTTTTTCCGAATTGGCAATGAATAACTCCATTGAGATCTGTGTGTTTACGAAATACTCTATAATAGTCATAAGAAATGTATATTCCCATTACAGCCGAAGTAGCTGCTGCTGATTCTCCAGTTGTGTCTCTGGAGAGACTCGTGGTCTTTCCTCGTACTGCTCGATGATGTCCTGCAGCTGACACTCCCCAGTAACCCTCTCCCTGGCGCATTCCTCCAATCTCTGCTACAAGCACTGATTACTCTCTTCACGAAGAGCCAGCAAGTGTTCGGCCTGGTCCCGAAATCGGTTGAGCTCCTCAGGCACTTTTCTGAGTCCCTTCAGAACTATTCTTACGGCATTGTAGCACTCATTCCTGAAAATCTGAAAAGTCATCGTTGCTTGGATCAGGACTTCGGTAGAGTTTTGGTAGATCTCCAGAGCCTTCTGCAATTCAAAATGATATCGAGTCTGGAGCCAGCTGTATTCCTCCTGGCAGGCATGTAGCCGGAGACCGCTTCGTGTGTTGAGTTCATGGGTGAGGTGCGTGGCCTCAGAGGTGCCCTTGCCCTCTGTAGATTGTCTCACATTTTCCACTAATACTTCCGCACAGAGCCTCCACTCCTCCGCTGTCTACAGCTCCCACTGATCGCTGTTCGCCTGCTGATCGTTGATGCGCTCCAGACTAGCCTCCAGATCGAGGATAGCGGCATTGAGTTTGGTAAACATCGCCATTGCATCCAGCACTGACTGGCTCTTGTATATATTTCCATCCTTGTACAGAAAAGGCTGCCATCTCATGCCGAAAGATATTCTGTACTTGTCTGCCCAACGCAGACAGATCCTCCCACTGACCAGCCAGCGGATTCCTGGCACAGATGCTGGCACACAGAGCGACCAGCAAAAACAACGAACTGCTCCAACTCATTGCGTCAACTGAATTGCCGGAGGTAAAACATACAGCACGATCGAACTCCAAATATTTAAGCAACTGCAGTTAATCAATGGACAGTCTACAGTCTGGTAATATAAATAATATTTAGCTAAGAACACTTCCTCAAATGAGTTTCCATTAGACATGCGATTACCCACAACATATTCAATTCGAATGTTCAATTTTTCATACTTTATCATACCTCCAGCATACCTTTAGAATTACCTCTGTCATCGTCGGGACTAGGTACGAAGATCGGACAAGCGATGGACGCAAATGGAAGCAACCAACGATGCGCTGATTGGAGGCCATTGGTAGATGATCAGTCTCTTCCCGCATCAAAATGACTTCCAGCTGCAGCTTCCAAGTTTCATTCTTTGCCAGTGGCCTGATGATTCTGTACAATGTCGTCTCCACCAGAGATATGGTCTCATTGAGACCTTTCAGTGCTTCTTGTGTATTGCTTTGGTCACGGTTTGTTAAATGTATAATACCCTCAACCATTCCAACAATTGTCTCAGCTATTTTCATCGAGAAACAAGGTTGTGAAGTATATAAAGAATCATCGTAAAATACAGCCTCCGGCAGTCTGTTGTACAGTGCGCATAAAGCGATCAAAAGCAACACCGAGTCACTCCACAACATGACGGCAAATGAGACTACGGATGGATGGATGCCAAGTGACAAACGGCAGTTGATCAACTGACACACACTGGTACCGCATAAACAGTGTGAGAGTAAGGGTTCGTTTGAAAACTCGTTCTGCCAGCTGATTGGCAGCATTACTTAATACTAAATATAATTCCCAAACCAAACAAAAATAAACTGCCAGCCAGAGAAAAATATGGCAAACGTGTTTGGCCAGACTTGTGTCCGGGCCACACAATTGGATTGTGTTGTGTCTTAGGGTTCTTTAATCTATGGTATACAAATCGTTTGCTTCTTCGCAGATCTAGCGTAGGTTCTCGTTGATCCAAGTGAGATGCTTGGACAGGTCGCAGTAGAGCACATACTGGCTGAGCTGACAACGGCCGGAGGTTCCACGTTCGCCCAGCGAGACAATGCCACGCAGCACCCAGTGTGTGTCCCGGCGGATCATCAGGCCTCCGCCCGAGTCACCGAGGCAGGGCCCGGAGCCGTCCCGATTGCCGGCGCAGAGAGTGCGCTCGGTGACGGCCGAGGCCTTCCAGGTGCTGATGCAGTCCGTGGCGCTGGCTATCTCGGCCTCGACAACCCGCGGATATTGGGTCTTGGAGTTGCCAAACTCGTCCGTGCCCCAGCCCGCTATGAAGCCAGACTTGGTGACCGTTTCACTCTCCTGCTCCGTCCACAGGCAGATGGGCCCAATGACGTCATTAAAGCTGCAAAGAGGCAAAATATAGAGAAAGTATGGAAAGAAAATCGAATGGAACCTACGTTACGGGGCGCTGCAAGCTGACCAGAGCAATGTCTGCATCGGAGACCACTCGTGTGGAGAACTCTGGATGCCACAACAATCGCCGCACATTGTGCATCTCGGCCCCATCCTCGTTGTAGTCGTCCAGGTCGTAGCGACCCAATCCGATGAGCACTCGATCCTCCTGCATCTTGTACACGCAGTGGGCAGCCGTGATCACCATGCTGGTTGATATCAGCGAACCGCCGCACTTGAAGGCCAGCGACAGGGATTCCTTGTGGTAGACTGCCGACAGCCAGGGATACTGTCCGCGCGGGAACTCCTTGCCGCGGTGTATGAAGGGAGAGAGTCTGCCCTCGCGGCCACACTCCACTGGTGTCGATGCGGACTGGGGATTGAATCGATTCCATGCGCGGGTTGGCTGTGTAGCTATGGTTGTGGTGGTGGTTGCCTGTGGTGTGGCTGGTGGCTGCCAGAACACAGTCGATGAAGTGGGCGCTGCAGTGGCAGGTGGACGTCGAGCTGGAACTGGCACAGGGGCTGGTGCAGGGGCAGGCGCTGGGGCTACAGTCTGCCAATTTTGCCGCCAGACGGGAGACACAGCGCCGCCTGGCGACACCGATGTCCAGGAGGGAAACGAATTTTGCGCGGGATTGCCATAGTACAGCGTTTTCACCTCCAAATCGGACTGTTCCCCGGGAAACAGATCGAACACGGAGGACGGACGAAGTGGCCGCTGAGGCCTCAGCGATTGTCCACTCACATGAATCTCGTAGAATCGATTGAAGAAGCTATTGGGGGGCCCATCTAAAAAGCAATGATTGGGTGAGTCACACAGCCAGATCCCAGCCACCGAAATGCAGAATACTCACATTCGCTGGCCGAACAAAGCAAAAGATCGTTGTAGGAGAGACGCGACAGCTTGGGCAGTAGACCAGTGGAGGGGTCGGGCCGGAGGCTGATGCGAAATTTCGCTGGTCCGCCAGATGAGCGGGCAGCCTCCTCATCCGGATAGGGCCGCAGGGTGCCAACGGAGGCGGGCTGTGGAAGGGCGAAGGAGGCAAAGCAATCAGTGGGGGTTTCAGCTGGAGACGGCTATAGCAATCCATCATACATCTTGATCGCCCCGCTGGGTGAGGCGCACGTCGATGCGGTTGCGGCCCCGCACCACGCTTGGGAGGGTCACCTCCCCCTGCAGGCCCTCGTAGCCATCGTTCACGTACTGGAAGTAGTCGGAGCACGCGTTCTCCGGCAGAAGCTGACACCTGGCCAATGCTATTAACGTCACAATTATGGCTAATTTCAGCCCCATACCTTGCCGGAATATGTTCGGATGGATCCGTTTGCTCACTGCGCACGCGACAAGCGTCGATGGGTAAATAAAACAGCCCCGGACCAGCCCCAGCTTCAGCTGACTCTCAGCAGCATGTCTACCGCTCTCGGGACGGGTTGTTGACTCACTGAGTAAACTGGAAATTCCGCATCGTGCGGTGCCAATAAGACGCACAACAAGCGATCAGTTGGAACGTAACCAGTACCCGGATACCGACTGAATGATTCCCGCTATTTCAGACAGCAAAAATATTGCTAAAAGTTGAACAAAAGTGTGGAAGTTTTGTAATCAAAACTAACCAATTCATGCAGAAAGAGATCTTCAGACACATTCTAATTGTTATACGTATACACAGAACTATTCTTTGTCCAGTTGTTACAAGTCCTATCGGTAACCTAGCGACTCCTGGCTACCCTTACCCTTAAGCCATTCTGATCGACTGCTCTTGAGTAAAAAACCCCCGCGCATACATAATAAACGTGGGAATTGCTATGCAAACAAAAGCTAAAGCCGATTGAGTATTGTTTATTGGACGAAACGCATCACATCTCTCCGCTTAACCGATCTAACCATATTTTTACTACACTTTGGGGCGGAAAATTCACTCACTCATTCATCTCTCACCTCTCACTCATCACTCATCAGTCAATCCACTGCCGCTCTAGTACACTATGTTGCTCTCGATCCATGTGAGATGCTTGGCAATGTCACAGTAGATTACATATTTGCGCAGATCACATATCAGTCCCTTTCGCGGCGCCAGAGCGACGATGCCCCTGAGTGTCCAGTGGCCGTTGCGCATGATCATCAGACCACCACCAGAGTCGCCCAGGCAGGGGCCATGGGCATTGCTGTTGCCGGCGCACAGAGTGTTGGGCGTGATGAAGTCCTCCGCTCGCTTCATGTCCGTCAGGCACTGCTCCCGGGTGACTACGCGCACATTGACGGCTTTGGGGTAGCGCGTCTCCACGGCATTTTCGTCCAGGCCCCAACCGGCGACGGCGCCCACATCGCCCTCATTGGCCGGCAGTGATGTGCGGGATGTCCACAGGCAGATGGGTCGAATGTAGTTGGTGTAGACAACCTCAGTGTCGAGCACAACGATGCCCACATCCGAGTCGGGCACTGGATTGCCGTCGTACTGCGACGGTGTGCGAGTGCTCGAAGCTCGAATAAGTGTGGCTCCGCTCTCGGGATGGGTGTTGCGGTCATGCCGTCCCACATAGACCCAAATGTCCAGCGCTTTCTTTCCGTGGATGCAGTGAGCCGCCGTTATCACCGTACGCTTGGAAACCAACGACACCACGCAGCTGTACTTGAGCGTTGGGCCGTTGTCCTCATAGAGAGCGCCCAGCCAGGGGAATCGTCCTCGGGTTATGGTCTCGCCTCCGGCCTGGGCAGCCGCAAACCCTTCCACCCCGCACTCTGACAGATCGGGATCGATTCGTGGAGCAACTGTCAACTGTGTGCCCGTTCTGATTCTGTTCAGGAAGGGATTGGTGCCCGTGTAGAAGTGTGGTGGCATCGTCGCAGGAGTCCTTGAGCGGTTGCGCGTTGGCATCGTCGCAGGAGTCCTCGGCACGCTGCTGCCCGAGACAGATGCCTGCCAGCCGCGTGTCATTGTACTGGAGGGTGCATCATCTGTGTAGCAGAAAGAGAAAGAGAAACTCATCAGCATGTACAGAGAGGAGCAGCCCACAGATGCTACTTACAATCCGAGGTACTGCAGTAGACGTGACCATTGAGCTCCGCCCTGATCAGCTTTGGCAGCTCGTTGCCGTAGTCCTGGAATCTCACAAAGGCCTGCCCCCGCCCGCCACTTCGCATCTTTTCGAACGCGCTCTCTTTGTCGGGATAGCCCCCCATGCTGCTCACAGTGTGCGCCTACGAAATGAAATAATCATTCAGCTGATGTTGGAATATCTCTTGATCGATCTCTGCTTACCTGATTGGAGCCATGTGCCGTGAACGTCACAGACCAAGCGAGGCTGGTGAGTCCATCCTGGAGGGGTGTAAACACTCCGATGAGTGAACCATCCGGTCGACGCATATAGCTGAACAGATCCCCGCAATTATGTGACGGCACAGTCTGTGACAAGGCCGATTCCAGACACACAAACAGCCAAAGACATATAATCAGCAGGGGTAGCGATGCGATTGCCATTACGAGAACCGATGTGGATTAGCGTACAGCGAGTACTGACTCTGAAACTGTTGACTGCACTTACAAATCGACTAAAGCGACTAACACTTAAACTAGCTAGGCTGCACTCTCCATTGCTCTCTCCAACAGATGATCCATCAGATAGCGAAGCCTACGTACATAGTCTCAGTCTCTCTCCCTGGCGACTATTAGCTCTCTAGAGGTTGTAGAACGGCCCGCCATCTGCCGTTTTGCCCGGTTCGCTGCGGGCTTTGCCCACTGCTAGGAACTCAAATTCTCCCGTACTCAAACACTCAAATACTCAAATACCAGCGAGGGGTCAACTTATTTATATATTCTTATTCAGTCAGCTTATCAGGAAAGCTCCGGGTGGGTGAATCGGTTATATGCTTGAGCTCTGGATCCACAACTGGTTACCCCTCGAAAACGAATTCGAAATGGGTCACATTACGCTCTGGGAATACCACTCTGGAACAGGGCCAACTCAAATTCAAAGTTTAATAATACAATTATAAAGCCCTGCCTGCTGATTTGCATTGGCAAAAACTAACCTTACCATTCAAAGCGTAATAAATGCAGTGGCCAATATGCAATTGCAACATCAAATAAAATTGAATTCCTGGTTTCTGATTTCTATGAACATTTTTGAAAATTTCTTCTCCATTCCGCATTCAGAACTAAGCGGTATTGAAAAGTAAATATTTAAAAGGAGATTAAAGTAATTTTAAAGTGCATTTTAAACTCGTATAATTATTGAAAATGTCTCTAACAAGCACCGAAATTAAACTGGGCGCCAGGTTGCTTCATTTCTGGAAGCTCTTCTAAGTAAATGCAAAAAAATGAAAACCAGTTTTATATATCCAAATAAATGAGCAGCAAACATATACATTAAAATTTGTTTATTAGTGTTATGTGTGCCACTGTCATTCTGTATTTCTCTCTTTAAAGCACGTCCCTTTCCACGCACATCTCTATTTTTCGGGGACTTTTTAGCATAAAACTTGGAGCTCTTATCAGGCATGGCTGGGGGGCAACTTTTAATAACATAATGCAAGGTGGTTTATGCGAATGTCTATTGAAAATGATTTCTGTGTACTTCTGTAAGTAGCGACAACGCATTTGCCAGAAACTTTTCCAAGCGATACAAAGCAAAAAAAAAAAAAAAAACAGAAGGAAAAGCGCCATCGATCCGTGTGGCCACATCCGCCTCATGCACACTCTCCCGCACACTCTAAAACACAATTTTCAGCTGCGGGGTTTTCCCGCTTCACCCTCTTGTTGTTCGCAACTTTTATAATCAGTTCCAAGTTTTGCAAAGCTTTGTAATAATTTGTTGAGATTTGGCGCGAAATGTTCGCTGCTTTTTTGTTGGCAAATAAAATTATAAATGGCTGGTCCCACGCGGGGACTCAACTTTGGCAGTTTGACGGAGGCATTTTGACACCACTCGACATGGCTGACTGGCACATTCCCGGCAACATTGAGGTGTGCAGTGCTTCCGGGCTCTGACTGGTTCTGGGACTTGGGCTGGTGCTGGTGCTGGTGCTGGAAGTGCGTCCAACTGCACTCGATGTGGGCCGCCTAATTGGAGCGAACGCTCCGTCAGGCAGCAATGGCACTTCAAATCAGTGTCGATTCAAATTAGCCATCCAAGAATCCCCCCACCCCGCCGTGTGTGCGTTTGTGTATGGCTCTAGAGACGGCGGAGCACACCGTAGGTATCGCAGGTGCAAATTCCACGGAACCGCGAAAACACGAACAGAAAAGGCTCGCCACAAGCCCTGAGGATGTGCAGCCGCTTGGCCTGCTTCAGTCCACTGCGCAGCGAGGCCTCCAGCTCATCGTGCCAGCTGTTCCCGGCACTCTCCTCCACCACCAGAGTGTGCAAGACGCCCAGCAGCTGAAGACAACGCTCCATCTGAGCGGTTCGCACTAGCGCCAGCATTTGAATGTAAGGCCGAAACTTTATCCAACGCTGGCAATCTTTCAATTCCACATCCTTGCCCACATCGATGATCATCAGTTTGCATTCGTGGTCGAGCAGGTCGTCGAGGATTTTCTTCTCCATGGGCTGCACAAAGCAGACTCGCTGCTCGGTGGTCACCTCGAAGCTCAGCTCGTGCTTGGGCGTCTGCATGGTCCAGGGATACTTGCGGTTGGCGAACTCGTAGGCCAACTTCTGGCGACGCTCCTGCTCTGCCCGCAGTTGGTTCACCATCTTGTCCACGCTTTGGATGGCCGGATGGGAGCTGCATCTCTCGGTATCGACACTGGCAGCGTCCTGTCTTGCCTTCGTCTCTGCATTGGCCGCCAGTTGTGCCTCCTCCTCGGCGGCTTCCTGCCGCTTGGCAGCCTCGCAGCAGCGCATATCGTGGGGCAGCACGTAGTCCGGATATCCCGCCTCTGCCAGGTAGGAGTGGAAGTGGAGCGCACTGAAGGGTTGGCGTGGCACATAAAAGGCGACTGACTTGCTCTCAATGTGGCACTTATTCTCCTCCAACAGCTGGGGCCACAGGTCCTCCCAGAAGGAGCTGCCCATTGTTTGCTTCGAGGCATCTTTATGGTTTGTTTCCATTTCGGGCACTTGGAATTTCTATTGTAATTTCGAGGGATCAAATGTTTACGATTTGCTTGTGTGTTTAGCTCGACAGTGGGATTTCGTTTGACTTTAGTTCTACTTATGGTTGTCAGCTAGCACACAAAAAGTGTCAGTCAGTCAGTTTCCCTTAAGGCAGGTGTACACCGTGAAAAAAACATCACAATGAATGGGAAAAAGAACATACTCTTTTTGGCACACTAAACCAAAAGTCATTGGAAGTATTCAGTTGATTCAGATTTACAAAATTATCCACCATATTGGATGACTTTTTGGGTCCGAAAGAGCACAGGTGCTCTTGTGATTTCTACCCATTTTCATAGATTTATTCATGTGACTTTGACCTTGCTTTTGTATGCTTACTCGCTCAGTGTATGCGCAAAAATTTCTTTTTATTATCAGCGTACAAATCCGTTGCCTGGCCACACGGTTCTTCTGCTTTTACCGTGTTTCCCATACATTTATTTTGTGCTTGCATTTTTGCTCGATTTATGCACACTCGCAGGCAATAACGGTAAGCAAGTAGCTTCAGGCATCTGGCATCTACGTTGACATCGGGCATCAGGCATCGGCATCAGGAAAAACAACAATTTGCGTAAATTTTATGGCATTCACTGTCGCAGATAGCCGTCGATCGCCATCATTTTATGGTCTAAACCAAACTGAAGCAAGCAGGAATGGAATAGTTGATGTTACGACTGTAGGATATCCATTGCTTAGGGACTTATTATTACAAATTTCGAGTGGAAAGGGAAAGGGAAATAAATCTCTTTAGGATGCAAAATATTTTAAATTTATGTAACCAAAAATAATAATTTTATTTGGCAAGGCTAACATCTACATAAGCAATATACACTATGAGTTCTGGGCCACACAGATTGTTTCGTGTTTGATTTGATGAAAGAGTGCAGGCGCATCAAGATGGCCCCGATTTTCATTATGCTCGTTTACATGTATTACATATACATATACGCATTCTGTGGTGAGTGGGGCGAAGGTAAAGGGGAGTGCCTACAGCCTCCAGTGGATGACTGGGACAATGGCGACGAGTTTTCGGGCTCATTAGCTTTTATGGCTTTGATTTTATTGCCGCCTGCCGTGGCAGACTTTAATTTCGCCAACGAAATTGTTGCCTATCGCCGTGCGCCTGCACTAATCAAACGGAAAATTCGTATCTGTGTGTGTGTGAGAGAGAGTGTGGATGTGTGTTTGTGGGTGTGTGTTGTGCTGGTCCTTCCGCATGTGTGCAATAAATATTCATAAATCAATTGTGCGTGCCAGTTGGCAGCACAAAAGAAACGCAACCCGAAAAAAGGTTCAAATTTAGATTTATGCACACACAAAAAATGAGTGACGAATGCTTTTTTTACGCTTCGATGTTTAGCAAGTTATCGTAAATTGTGTTTAGAAAAAAAACTCGTATACCTCAACCTCTGCTGCGGTGTGAAAATTGAAGCAGCAGAGGTACACGTTTTAATTTAATTTCGTGGCGAGAAGAGCCTCTCATGTGGCAGGATGCGGAGGCGGCCTCGAAAATTTATGGCATCAGTGCTACCGGCTGGTCTGCCAGGCCCAGCATTGAGAAATCAAAGTGTAACTTTAAGCTCCCTTCTTGGTAGAATAAAAACTTTAAGTGACCAAAAGCTGAGGGCCTTAAAAATGTTGGCTCTTCTCTTTTGGTCTACTGAAAAGCGACTATAAATTTATACATACATATGTGTACATCCATACATACGTGTGTATACATGATGTATATGCATATTTATTGTATTTTATTGTGGCACTTAAATAACGACACACTCGACAGACTACCACAAAATATCGCGACCACAAGAAACCAAAAGAATGAAAATGTTGAGGGCAAAAAAAAGCGAGGGGAAAAAGCGAAACCAAAATCAAGATAAATTGTATAGAAGCAAGTAAGGGCAACGGAGACGCTTATTGACATAAAAGCCAATCATTTTCAAATGTCTTTAAGCATTCGACAAATGGAGAGCAGCCCCCCAACATCAAACGGAAAAAGTAAACAAAACTGTAGCAAGGAAAATCGGAGAGTCTTTTAGATGGTATTACGACTGGGGAGACACCTGCTATGCAGCAGAGAACCACAACACTTTTTGTTAATTTTAAACGGCTCGTAAAGTCCTCCCCAAAAGTACAGATGAAAGAAAACTCGACAGTGGCACATCAAAAATGTTTATCTGTATATTTATGCTGCATTCACAGGAATCCAATACAACCTGGAACTCAACGAAGAGCAACGGGTTAAGCCCGAACTTTATTCGGTTATGCGTTTGACTTGGCTAACCGCGGGAGCAGCAGCACTAGCAGCGCCAGCAACCAGTGAATGCACTTTGAACTCGTGTCGAGGTTCTTTGCATACATAATCAAAAGCCAGTATTTTTGCATGTAAAATGTTCGCTTCTGAATTTTGGTTGCAACTGAAATGCTTGCCACCGAAACCAACGCCTCATTTCGAATGCACAACCTTCAGGGCATGTCAGAGGGCGACTGGAGCCAGTGCTGTTAGCTGTTAGCTGTTAGTGCTGCTTGTCTATTGAATATCCATCATATTATCGCCTAGGCTGGAGACTCATGATTGATGTACCCAATGCCCTGGCCATCAATCATCAACTCGCGTATATTCGAGTGCAATGTTCTCGTACGTGTATGCTGCTCTCTGTCAGTACATAAATCAGAGCACCACTCAAGTGCACACAATTACACACAGGCACAGTCACAGTCACAGCTCTAAATCATGAACTGCACTGGGAAGAAGTAGGCGTAATATAAAATACAGCTTAAAAATTAGTCGTGAAAGCTTTACTTTTTACTAGAAATATTTATCCGTTTCATATTACTTTTTATTATCCTTTAAGACCATATTCCATTAGTTACTTCTCCATTTTTCAACACAGTTTCTTCTCGCAGTGTATTTTTTGGTAACTGTTGTACTTGTAGCATCTGGTCCGGTCTGCTTTCAGGACTTTAACCATTTTCCAGCTGTCGGAGCTCTGCACAAAATGTCTGGAATTTTTGCAGCACAAAGGATGCAGACGTTTATTTGGAGCTACAAATAATTGTATGTATTTTATACCCAACCAAGGTCGACTTTGTGAGTGACTTGACAGATTGGGAAATTCTCTTTGTATGCAACTCCTGCTGGCAGTTAAAGGTGTAGTCTGAAACGCTTGAAAAAATTCTGCGGTTCTGCGGTTTGAAATTCTTCGGATTTTCAAATTTGTTTTGTGGTTTTGCTAGATTCTGACTATGCTGCTGGTCTTGTACCTTTTCGTTTCTTGTACAAGAAACTTTGATTAATTTATTAAAATATGCCGGAATGGAATTGTGAAGACTTTTGAGTGGACCCATCTGCAGGCAATTTGTCGGAGGGAAATCTTCGCTTCATAAATCATAGTTGGGGTCGAGTCGAGCTACTGGCATTGATAAATAAGTGTAGGCCTAACCATCAGCTTAAATATTCAATTCCTGTTTATTTGGGTCCTAGAATTGGACAACGGGTGTGGGCCATAAAGCATACATGGATGGCCTGGTACATTTGCGTGGGCAGCGAGAAGGCCAAAGGCAAGACACGCATGAAAAGCACTCGTGGAAATGTTCCTGTACCCCCAATCAGAGTGTGTGGGTGGGTGTGATTTCCCTATGAGACACGACACACACACTGAGGAAAACCTGGCATCCTTATCCATGCTTCAAGGCCAGGAATCCATAAGGTAAACAAAGGCAAGGCAACGGACAAAGGGATGGCACACAGGCACCGCCAGAGATGGTCTTGAGGCAGGACCCGCTGCCAGACTGGCCTACAAATGAGCCTGCCACCTTGAATAACAAAGCGAGAGCGGCACGCACCAGGAGCACCACTGATTGTGGGCGTGATGAATTTCTGGCTGGCTTGGCATTAATTCCATTTAATTATTATGACACTCGAGGGCAACGCAAACAACGCACCGTAATAATAATCGAGACCGGAGAACAGATTACCAACACCTCGGGTGTCGAGTGCCAGTCCTAAGCCCCAGACCCATCTCAGTCATACTGCAGCTCTGCTTTATTCTAATGCTACACGTTGGAGAAGGAAACGATTTGCGAATCAGCAGTGGGCACATTTGTCATCCGCCATGTGGGTCGGCCGTGAGTCGAATGTGCAACGTGAGGCGCAAAAACTTTTCCCGCAAGTAAAAAGTAAAGTTGCGTAAAGTTTTCCTGTGGCGTTGGGCAAAAGTCGAGTGTTGGTCCTTCTGCTACCACCCGGACACCCGAACACCCGGACACCCAGACACCAGGAGAACATCGCTTTCACGCTTGCCCTGCCAAGTGAAACCAATTTGCGCATTTTACCTGCCTCTAGACTCCTGGCATTGACTCGCATCGCTTCCTTCATGGTCGAGGTCTTTCTTGCCTTCAGACACGAGCATCTTGCATGCTTGCAGACAATCCCTTCTTGCCCTGCACTTGACATTCAATTTTCGCTTAAAGCCGAAGCCATGGACGCGTAATGTATGCTATCCAAATCGAAATTCATTCACTAAGCTTCCTTTTGATGTTGGACCTGCATCGGTTCTGCAACTGGCCTTGGATACGGCCAGGCAGGACCTCTTTTAATAAGCCTCATTCACATGCGTTCGACTGCTTTGATGGCAGGCAGCATTGGGGGCGCATTTTCGGGCTGTTTGAAGATGCTTTGGTTCCATCTTTCAGTTGAGGCTAAAGCTGGAACAGCATCAAACATTCTGATAATCACCACTTGCCCACTTTTTATACTCAAACTCCTTCAAGCCCCCAGGGGTGGAACATATTGCATATTTAAATAGAAATTCTCGCCTGGTCATAATTTGAAAAACAAATTCCAGTTTGCAGCATTGTTTTGCGGTCGCCCAGGGTCCAAGTATATGCTCTCTTTCTCTTCTCCAACTCCCACACTTCTCTCCCACTGAGGGTGTGCGTGTGTGGTCGTAAATCAATATTTAACCCGTATGGCCCCCGTGCGGGTCCGTTAGGTCCGTGTGCTCTAGAGGCAGCTCTTCCATCAGCCAGCCAGCGTTTAAAAATAAAAACCCAAACTC